CAGAGACAATCGAGTTCTGCCCCTGCGGCCTCCTGTGGACCCTGCGCGGCTACCCTTGCCTCCGCGATTTCGTCTAGGCCTAGAAATGATGCCGCCGCTGCTGCGCCGTCCTCTCCCGCTTCCTCTTCGGCGCCCCCCCTTCCCTTCAGTAGCATCCTGGGACCCCGGGGTCTTCTGAAATCTCCCCGATGATTCTCGGCTTAACTTTCTGAGCTGGCCCGCGAGGGCCGTAGGCAGCTTGAGTTTCATTGATTTGAATCGTTGTTCGTGAGTCGGGGGTTTTCGCTCAACTCAGGACTGTCCCCGATGCTGTTGTCCACCCTCTCTGCCCCCGACCCGTGCCCAGCCTTTAAAGCGCGGGCTTTAAGCCGAGGTAGGGGGTGGGCGGGGGCACAAGTGCATTGAATGCCACGCGTGATGAGTATATTTACATCACAGCGCCCTCTAGAAGCGAGCCAGCCCTGGAAATCTGTTGTAGTTGATTTCGAATTCCCCGAGTGGCCGCAGGATCAGCTGACACGCCTCTGCAGAGTCGTTCGTTCGTTCGTTCTCCTCCTCCTCCTCCTCTGTTCTCCGTCTTCCTCCTCGTCCTCTTCCTCCTTCCCCCCTCCAACTTATGGTGGTGGTGGAAAACAGGCCCATAATCGGTGGATCGCGCCGCATTGCCGATGCAACGACGATGCGGCTCGATGCGGGGCCCGTTTTTCTCCGCGCCGACGTCGCCGATGCGTCGCCGATGCGTCGCCGACGTCGGCGATGCATCGCCGATGCATTGGCGATGCGCCGCGATTTCCCTGCCCTATCTGTTCGGAACCATCTAGGAGGCTTCAAGAATGGTGCAGAGAGATGGGGTCTGCGGCGCTGGTCCTGATTTGCGCGACGTTCAGTTTCTGCTCGCGGCGCCGGCTCTCAGGGGTGGCCTTCTGAAGAAGCCGCTGATTCGAAGGCCGGCGCCTTGTGGGGATCTCGTGGAGGTTTCTGCGAATACTTCTCAGAAGCCTCGGGGGCCCTTCTGGGCCCTGTTATGTAATCTGTAAGGGCTTCGCCCCCTGCCGCCGGCCCCCCCTCTCTCGGAGAATGGGCCGTGGAAGAGCAGGTTTTGGACCCTGACCCCGCGGATCTGCGTGAGGGGTGGCACCGAATTTCAGAAATGTGGCAAATCCCCTGTGTTTTTGGACCCTGACCCCGCGGATCTGCGTGAGGGGTGGCACCGAATTTCAGAAATGTGGCAAATCCCCTTTGTTTTTGGACCCTGACCCCGCGGATCTGCGCGAGGGGTGGCGCCGAATTTCAGAAATGTGGCAAATCCCCTGTGTTTTTGGACCCTAACCCTGCGGATCTGCGCGAGGGGTGGTGCCGAATTTCAGAAATGTGGCAAATCCCCTGTGTTTTTGGACCCTGACCCCGCGGATCTGCGTGAGAGGTGTCGATTTTGAGTCCCCCCAACAATTCAGACAACGCGCCCAGGTGGTGCTAAAAATCTGGTTTGGGCCTCCCTCCCCTCGCGCGGTCAATCAATTCTAGTTACAATAACCAGCAAGAAGCAGAACTGCAACACTGGAAACTACAAACTACAACTGGTACAGGAAACTGCGAATCACAGGCCTACAGCCTGGTGGCCCCACAAGGGGGCCGGCGGATATTTGTCCATCCTGCACAGCAGGCCCCCCCCCGCCACCCGTGCGTGCGCGTCGCAAACCTTCCTTCTTCACAGGGGGGGGAATCGCGCCGACACCGTTCACCTGCGTTTGCCGAACAGTCCATGGGCCTTGACTGAGCAGCCCCCGGCGCGGATTGGACAGCCCTGCCTTGAACCGCCCTGCAGGGCGCGAGCTAAAACGTGCTCGTGGACCGATTTTGTGTGAATTTCGCGGAATGATTGAAAACGGTAACGCAAACGGAAATCACGGTTCGGCTCGAGTTCAGCAACTTGGCCCTGTTTGTTGTAATGGGCAAGTTTTCCACCACCACTACCATTGGTAGCACGGGTGAGACAGGAGGATGGGGAGGTCCTCCTCCTCCTCCTCCTTTTGCTACTCCTCCCCCTTTTCCTCCACCTCCTCTTGCTGCTCCTCCTCCTCCCTCTTCTTCATGTGGTAGCGGTGGTGGGGAATCGGACCATCGTGCCGAGTACTCCTGTCTTGCGGCGAGCCTGTGCCCCGTTGCCAGAGGTTGCCCTGTCGGCTGCGCGCCGTTATCGGGCGGGAGAGGTTTGAAGTTCGAGGCTGTCGGGCGTTCCTTGCGGTTGTCGACGAGCTTCGGGCCTTGCCCATCGTGGTGCTTTCCAGCAGCTGCGCTTCGCCGAGGGCTCTAAGGGGGTGGGAGGAGGAGGAGGGAGGAGGAGGGGGAGTAGGAGGAGGATGAGGAGGAGGACAGGGAGGAGGAGGAGGAGGAGGAGGAGGAGGAGGAGGGAGGAGGAGGAGGAGGAGAAAGGAGGAGAGGAGGAGGAGGAGGGAGGAGAGGAGGAGGGGAGGAGAAGGGGGGGGGAGGAGGAGGAGAAGGGGGGGGAGGGGAGGAGGAGGAGAGGAGGAGGAGGAGGAGGAGGAGGAGGAGGACGAGGAGGAGGAGGAGGAGGAGGAGCACGAGGAGGAGGGGGATGAGAAGGAGGGATGATGAGGAGGAGGAAGAGGCGGAGGAGTAGGCGGAGGAGGATGAGCGAGTAGGAGGAGGATGATCACGAACCGTGATCCGAATGTTGGTCAGAGCGCCAGGCCTCCCAAATGGCGTCCGAGCAGCTGGGGTCGGAGAATCGCGCCGCATCGTCAATACGGCGGCGATGCGGCGCGACCCACCAGCCCCATCTACTTTGACCCCATCGAGGTGGGCTCTGCGAGCGCCATCATTCTTGTCTGCATCCCCCGTGGCGCCTGGGGACCTGGGGGATGGCATCCTGGCCCCCCTCCCGGCCCTCCGATGAGCTGCGGCGCGCCCCGCTCATCGACGGCTTCGAGGCCATGGCCGGCATGCTGGACCAGCTCGGAGGAGGCATGGGCAGCTACATTCGAAGGAGGAAAAGCCACATGAACATACACTTGTGGCGCTCCGCGCGGATTTCGTGGATCCGCGCCCGGGCCCCCTGGCGGCGCCTCGGGCGCCGTCCCTGGCGCGGCTCCAAGAACGCCGCGCGGAGCGCCACAAGTCTAGGTTTCTGTTGTTGTTTTTTGTTGGTCCTTCGATACGTACTGGCCGACACGAAGAAGATGCGCGCCTCGCAGGCGTCGCCGAGCGAGGAGCGAGCGAGGGAGGGGGGGGGGGCCCGCGCTGCCGCGCGCCAACTGGGGTGGGGGGGCCGCGGACGTGGTCGCTCGGCGCGCAGCATCGGTCGCGCAGGGTGCCACGTGGAGCCCCGGGGGAGGCCACATCAGCCTGGGCCCGGAACGCCGTGTGTACGTTTATATATATATATATATAGATATATATTTACACACGTATGTATACACATGGGTTGAGAGAGAGAGAGTGCACACACACACACACACATATATATATGTATATATATATATATATATATATATATATATATATATATATATGGTCCAGGTCCAGGGCTTGGGCCCCCCCACCCCAATGCTAATGCCATCGAGCCCCCCCCCCCCCCGCGCGATGCCCCCCCCTGTGGGCGTGGCGTGGTGGCCCTCCCCCTGTGGGGATGGTGGCCCCCCTGTGGACGACATCGTCGGCGTCTTCGCCATCGTCGTCGTCCTCTGCTTCCGGAGAGTGGCGGATACATGGGGAGAGGAAGTGGGAGGGGGGAGCAAGGTAGGGAAGAGAAGGCCAGGGAACGAGGAGGGGGGAAGGGGAGGCGGACGGAGGGAGGAGGAGAAGGAGGAGGAGGAGCATCGTCGTCGACGGTGTCTTCCCCGTCGTCGCCTCCCTCTGGGTGTGGCGTGGTGCTGCAGTGCTTCAGGGAGCCGAAGCGGGCGTCTTCGTCGTCGCCGCCGCCGTCGCCGCCGCCGCCGTCGTCGTCGTCGTCGTCGTCGTCGTCGTCGTCGTCGTCGTCGTCGTCGTCGTCCCCCCCCATCCCATCTGGGGGGGGGGGAGCCCGAGGAATCCTGGGACCATGCCATCTGGGGGGTGGGGGGCCCGTGGGCCCGGAGCCCGGGATCATATATATATATATATATATATATATGTATATTCATGTATACCGAGAGAGAGAGAGAGAGAGAGACCGACCGAGAGAGAGAGAGAGAGAGTAATGCAGCGGAGTCTGCGGAGGCCGACTCTGCCGACGTCAGTTCTTTTCGGGCGTGGCCCGAATCTGTTTCTCACGATGTCTACTGACTGAGCTGAAGCGAAATGAACTGACCAGACTGGTCGCACCCGTTACGTGACGGTTTTATTCTCGGCCGCGAAGGGCGCAACCTTTCGCGCAACCGATAGGAGACGGTTTTATGCTCGGCCGCCAAGGGCGCAACCGATAGGAGACGGTTTTATTCTCGGCCGCGAAGGGCACGGGGTCCGTTTTCGTATGAAGGTCTCTCATGAGGGGAGGGGACTGTCTGGTCCGTCTGCAGGCGGCCTTGGGCTCCTGGGCGGCCCTGTTCTGGGCCTTCTTGAGGCCGTGTCGGCTCCAGCTAGGAAAATCTTGCCGTCTGCGTGGGGTTATGGATGTCCCCATGTACAGTCAACCCGCATAGCAAGGACGTGCGAGTTTCCAAGGTACGCATTCCATCCTTCCACTTCGGTCCACCCTTGGCCGCTTGCGCTGGCCGCGCACCGCTCGCAAAGTGCCGGCATGGCCTTCCAAGGCCCTTGCACCTTTATCGTGCGACCGGATTTTTCGGGCTGACTGTATCTTCTGGGTCCTCACTCCGTCTCCGACGCCCGCTTGGAGTCCGCTTGCAAGTGTTAGGTGGAGAATGTTGGCCCTCCCGAAGGCCCCGTTGTGGCCTTATGGGCACCTCTTGTTGGAGGCGTGTTGGCGCCTCTACGCTATCCCATGCTTTGCTCTCTCTGGGCGACGCAGGTCACACACAAGGGGGAGGACGGCCGCAAGA